TCATGATTAAATCCCGTTGTAATAATATTTTGGCTACGGTAACATTTTCTATGAGGTACTTTTAATGGCTCTTCAGTTGATTTATTCAAGTTAAGATGGTGGTAACAAAACAAATCTTCAAACAAAAGTTCACTTTGTATTCAAATTCAGAAAACAAATCTTTAGGACGGTATTCAGTGTGTGTCAAGAGAAAAGAGGCACAGTTTGTACAACGTTAAGTGTAGTTTTTTTCAGCACATACAGGAACTATAAACCGTTTCATGGTTTGTATGAATGATACTATAATAACAAAGGAGGGTTGAAGGAAGGTAGGCAGATAAGTTCAGTTGACAGACTGTGATAGAAAAAAAAACATTTTAAAGTTAAGATAGTTGTTGTGAAGGGATTATTTTAGGGTGTTATTTAAAGGAAGGTAAGCATGTATTGGTGAAATGTAAAACCATTGCAGGACATGTTTTGTATGATGCACAAAATGTCGGTACACATAAAAACACACACCTGTATCTCACTAGGCCCTAGGGCTTTGATGAATTTATCAAGTTTGCTGCGGACTTCATGGATAGTCCGCTGGCCTCTAGTAGCAGCAGATCCTTCTTGGCCTTCACTTAAACGTTTCTCCAGTTTGGCAAAGGCCTCCAAAAACGTGTACACTGACATGGCCACTGCACTGGTGGGAATCTGACGGAGTAAAAAAAAAATGTGATGCTTCAGTGGTTCAACAAGGGAGCAAAATGTGTGTGTATACTGTGAACACTGCATACAACTGTAGTTAAAGAAGTCCAGATAAATGTGTTACAAGGGTGCCCCCTGCTGGCCAACCAGCCAGAACACGTGACGACAGTAAGCAAATTGTGTCCACATGACAGTCGTACATACATGGAAGTGTGTTGGTGTCCACAAACCTTTGTTAGCAGCACAAGTGTGATGCCCGGCCACAGAGGCAGACAGTACATGGAGTGAGGCATCATGGGATACAGCCCATCTTTGAGTGAGACCTCTAAGAAGACTCTGCGAGGGGTCGAAGGGTCGGGCGGAGGAACTTCTAGAGTTTGCAAGCTGTCCTCTGCCATCTGAAGACATTATAATTTCAATAAGTCGACAGGTCTCATTGTGTTTATTTTGCGTTGAACCAGGATTAAGTCTCAGGAATAAACATTCTCACCTGGACGTCTGGGTCCACAAACTCAAACACGGGTGTACTTTCTCTCACTGGCTTGTCTCCTGACACACAAACATGAACATACAACGTACTGCTGTTGTTATATTGTAGAATGAGAAATAATAAATATGACTAAATATGAACACACAGGCTCTTCTACACAACCCACCTGAACTGCTTGAGTCCCTGTCTGTAGGGGAGGGCTCCGGCGTGTAAAAACTTTCAGGACCAGAGCCGGATGTACTCTCAACATCCTCCACAGACAAACATGCACAAGAGCAGGCGATAAACAATCAGAAACAAGGTGACCAACATGTTGTGTTGTTACCGTGCGAGCGGCCGTCTGCATTGTCTACCTCGGGATTTGGATCATCCTGGTCTGTGTTGCTAGGATACATATTCTGTGCCATGATGATGAGGGCCAGGAGGTCTGAGGTGGAGAGCGTGCTCGCATTGCGGCTAGAAGGAGCGGCAGAGCAAAGAGACGGCGTCTTTTATAAAGAGATCTTATTAGAATAAACTAAAATGAAGCCTCTTCACGGTCTTAGAAGTTATCAATAAGACATTGCAAGTTGTGGAATACATGTTAAGGGTTTATGGACACATCTGTACCTGGAGTAGAATGCGAGCAGCTTGGTGTGGACCAGGATGAAGGCGTGTATCACCTCCTCTCCTGCTCGCTCTACACTGCTGTTAAGCTGCTGAACTAAACGGCGCTCCAGGAACTCGATGCACTGCTCACACAGCGTGGGGTGAATCAGCCTCTCCACCGCCTGAGAGAGGGAGGAGACGACACGAGAGCGAGGGTGATAATGACGATGTTAACCATTGCATACATCATAGCCTGAGCATTGAAAGTGATGTATTTGCCCTTTAAACATGTACAAACTGGCAAACTGACCAAAAAATGACCTTTTACTCTAAAGAGAAAGAGGACTGAAGGATAGCTGGTGAGTCAAGTGGTTTTTGTTACTTTGACAAAGAGTGGTTTCAGATTAGATGTAATAGGACCAGGTCTACATTTGTAGGATAACAACTTAAATGTCAAGTTATAACTGGTTCACTGTATAGCTGAGTAGACAGCCTTAGAGACACGAACCATGAGCATGTCATTCCTACCCAAACACACAAGATGAAAGATTGTACCGCAGACACTTCAACACACACATGATTTGTAAAAAAATGAATAAAAGGAATAGAAAAAAAGAGGTATAGGGAGCCGACAAAATAATATAAACCCCCAATTAAACTGGGCTTTCTGCCCATTCCTGCCATCTAGTGGTTAACGTTTCCACATCCTAAATCTGACACAATGCACACAAGATAGTCAGGGCGGTCACAATTAAATAATGTGACTCAAAAAACAAACCAAAAAAATCTTTATAAATGTTTACCAATGTACAAAAGGGTATGGTTGATGGAAACAGAGACCCAAATATATCCCTGAGGGGGAAAAAAAGACTACAAATATGACTAATAATGAAATATATCACAGACACATCAAAACACAACTAAATAATAATAATAATAAGTGTGCATCATCATAACAATGACAGCTCAATAAGGTCTCTGGCTTTGCTTTATTGCATACAGGACTCCCGTGGGGACACAGATATTAGCTTGAATCGGTATCAAGATGGCAGGAGTGTGCACTCCGCTGCAAAGCTGTGCATTCTAGTATTGTCTTGTCCCCATATAATCTGCTGAGAAAAACACTCAAAAGAAAAAACGGCAAGACTTTTCCTGCTGTATAAAGTAGCGAAGCATTGCACCTCCACTAAGAAGCTCTGGTCGTTCTCTCGGAGGTGGCTGTAGGTCTCCAGCAGGCTCTGGAGGAACTTCCACAGTCTCGCTCTTTGCTCCGTGTCCTGAGGACGCAGTCTGGTGACGAACACAGTTCATATATCAACCACATGCCTTGTTAAAACGGCCCGGTATCAAGGGGGAATGCACAAAATGTCTTACTCTTTCCTGAAGAGGTTACTGCTGAGGGTGACCATGCCAAACAGGACCTCGAGCATCTTTTTCATCACGTAGATCTTCCTCCTC